ATTTCTAGGTATTTTGTTGGTTTTGATGCAATGGATATGTTTATGCCAGCTCTAAAATTCTGGGTTTTGAAGTTAAAAAAATAAATGAATAAAAGGCCACAAATGGAAAAATGCCCTTCTGTCTTATGGGTGAATTGTATTCCATTACCTACATACAGTGCATCTCCTTTATCCATTCATCTGTTGACGTGCACTTGGGATGCTTTCATGTCTTGGCAGTTGTAAATAGTGTTGCTGTTAATAGTGGGATGCATGTATCTTTCTGAATTTTTATTTTGTGTTTGGATTTATTCCTTTAATAACTACTTAAGTTTAAAAAGCCAATGCTTTTTAGAGACAATGAACAGTGCATGTACGTAAATTTGAAAAATATGTGCAGTAAAAAAAAACTGCTGATAGGCTTCATGAGGGATTTCCTTTCTGTGACACTCCTTTTTTCTTGCTGCCTTTAGAATTCTATCATTGTCTTTAAATTTTGCTTTTTGAGTGATGATATGTCTTGATGTAGGCCTGTCTCAGCTGATCCTGTTTGAGACTCTCTGATTCCTGTGCTTGGATATTCGTTTCCTTCTTCAGATTAGGGAAGTTTTCAGCCTTAATTTTATCCAATGTTTTCTCAGCCTTTTTCTCTCTCCCTGCAGGGACCCCTATAATGTGAGTGTTCCTATGCTTGATGCTGTCTCAGAAGTACCTTAAACTCATGTAACAGGCCTTTTCCTCTTGCTTTTTTGATTGGGTGTTTTTCATTCTGTCTTCCGGATTGCTAATGGGCCATCTGCGTTGCCTAAGCTTCTGTATGACCTGCAGTCCTCTGATTGGTTCTTTTTTATATTTTCTAGTTCTTTTTAAAAATTCTCCCTGTGTTCATCTGTTCTTTTTCCCAGTTCAGTTATCATTCTTGTTGCTATTGCTTTGACCTCTTTGTCAGGTAAATTATTTCTTTTCATTATGGTTATTTTGTTATTCTTTCATTTAAAACGTGTTCTTGTGTCTTCTCATTTTAACTTTCTGTATCTCTGTGAAATTAGGTGAAACAGTTACCTGCCCCAGAATGAAAGGTGTCCTTGTGTGAGAGCACTCCTGTGCAGTCTTTTGTGCCCAGGGGATTTGTTGGGAAGAGCTGGACCTGAAGTGATCCTGAGCTGCCCTCTTCCCCTGGGATGTGCTGGCAGCCGCTGCAGTGGGGCGGCAGGGCTGGAGTCAGAGGGACTGGAGCCAGTTCCAGGTTGAAGCACAGGGGCTTCTCCTCTGCTCAGTGACTGTTCCAGCACTATCAAGTCATGGCACAGGGTCCCATGGGGCTGGAGCAGGATCTCTGTGGGAGTGGGATTCTTCTGGGTGTGATGGCAGTGTCTGCTTTGGTTTGGGTTGTACCTGAGGCCTGAGGGCTTGCAGCAGCCCTTCTGTACTGGTTTTACCTTTTCCGCAGTGTGCACACCTTGGCTAGAGGGTGGGTCAGGGCCAGGGAGATTGGGGCCCGCACCACTAAGCTGGCCCCACCCCCTCAGGTATGCACAGGAAAGTGAGTTCTGGTGATGGCAACCCCTGTCCTGTGCTAGTACTGTTCCCTGCAGAGGGTGTGCAGGGACACTCTAGCTGGCCGTGACTGCCAGCCACCTTTTCAGAGGCAGGGCCACACCCAGGCCAGCGCCACTTTCTCCCACGGTGTGCACTCTCACTGGCAGTGAAAGCCTCTGCCTGAGTGGGAAGCAGCACCAGAACACGGAGGGTGGGAGCAGGAGCCTGGGGGAGTCTGAGGGTCCCCGTGAGCCACCCCTGCCATCCGGCTGGAGCCCCAGGCAGTGTTCATCCTCCTGTGTCCCTGCCATGACGGGGAGTCAGTGGGTCTCTGCACAGGCTCTTCAAGAGCAGAAGCTCCGCGTCTTAGAGCGCCCCAGCAAGCTTGCTGGTTTTCACCCCAGCTGAGGGGACTCCTCATCCTGGTGCTGAACCCCGTGCCTGGGTGCCTGACACGTGGTTCAGACCATGATGTAAGGCATGGGTGGTTGTCAGGGCTGGAGCACCGCTGTGACGTCATGCTGTCTGAGCACAGATGCCCACAGCTCCTGGTGTGTTGGCTGGTGGGGAGCACTGCGGGGAGCGGCTGTACATCTGTCTGGCACAGATGGGGCTCGTTATGATCATTCCCCATAAAGATGGTATAAGGCCAGGATATGCCATGTGGTTTTCCAAGGGATTGAATATTATAATGAGTGATGTGCCCCAGCTGCCTAGTGTGAGCAGCATGACTGCAGGTGCTCTGGGTCCAGGAATGCAAACTCCAGTTATGCCCTTGGGAACCAAAGGAGCAGGTCCTAAAGGGACATATTTACCATAAATGCTCTTCCACGTGTCAGTCATGGGGAAACACCAGATTAGGCAATGGATGCTGCCTGAGTTTAGTGTTGAATTATTTAAAGTGTAAGGAACCTACAAGATTCTGGGTAAAAATTAGTGCAGTGACAAGTGGAAGTGACCCAAGGAGTACATACAGTAAGAAACAGAGTCCTGAATTTAATCATCTTGTCTGATTTTCTCAGTGGGTAGTAAATGATTAGGGTTTTGACTTATGTTGTTTTGATTAAACTCTAGAATGTGGTCAGTTGTGAAGTGTGAAAGTCTAAGGATGTTTGTAGTAAGGGTACTTATGATGATACAGTTTTGGGGGTTAATGATTCCTGGGACGGATGAAATCGGCTGGCTGTGTGTGCTGATGGAAGAAGAGATGTTGATGCAAGTGGAGGCACTAGCAGAGAGGAAGGCTAGTGAAAAGTGAAGGCTAGTGTCAGTTGATTCAGGAAGAATGAGCTGATAAGGCTGGTTAATAGGCCATAAGGTTTAGTGTTAATTCAGAGGATTTAATTTTTGATAATCATGTTAATTGTATTACTGTAATGTTTGGAATAATGAATTTTAGCCTTGAAGAAGGTTAACATTTTGTACATAATCAGTACCGCAGGCGCTGGATCCCACAGCTGTTAGTGATGGTCCCGGTGCAGCTGCACAGGCGGGGAGCACTGATAGCAGGTGTTATGCCAGCTCATGTAGAATGGGTGCTGAGCATGGTGACAGCGGCTGTAATGAAAAATGATGATATTGTGCCATCTAAGGATAGTAATGGGGATGTTAAGTGTGATTTATATATTAGTATCCATATAGGACACTGTAAATGCAAAGAGGATAGTAATATAGACTAATGCCATTTGATAATTATGAAGTTAATTATAATTTTATGAGTCAAAATGTTTTTGTTTAAACTAACTATCATACATTCATTCTAATCCTTTTAAATTCATTCATAGGCTGACCTTATGGCTACTAGTAATGAGATTACAGTTTGTGCCATGTGAAGAGTTTAGTTTTTAGGTTACTCTTTTGAGAGGCTCAGGGTAGGGGTAGGAGGAGGGCAACTTCTAGGTCAAATAATAGGAAAGTAGTGACAACTGAGAGTAAGTAAATGGAGAAGGTGGGCGTGCTGGCCCTATAGAGTCACACCCGCACGTGTGTGGGCCTGGTTTTCCTGGACACTGACCAGAGGAGGTCAGAGTGTGGTCAGGACAAGCTGTGAGTCTGGTCGTGTGTTGGTGAGTGACGTCAGTGTAAGCTTTATTAGTGTTTCTCCAGCTACAGGAAAAGCTGTAGGTTGGAAGTCAGTTGTTCTACTTAATACTAAAAGAACAAAACGCTCATCAATAGGTAGTGATCTACAGAACAATCAAGCTTTACCTCCGAGATGCACTATCAGGCCACTGGCTGAAATCCAAGATAATTAAGTGTATAGGGAAATCTTAGTTGGCATAGAAAGCACAGAACGAGAAAAGTAGAGCCGATAATTCTGTGTAGTCAGGGGAAGCTTTTAACCATGAAAACTACTGAGCCAAAAACTCCATCTGAAATTGTAAATTTTATATTCTTCTGACACTTGCAATAATACAAGTTCCTAGAGGAACTGTGATGAATCAGACTTGAAGTATTGTTTATGATTTCTTTCTGTTAGATGATAGTGAGCACAAGTGAGGGGAACTTGAGGCTCACAGAACTGAAGTATTAAGTTATTATGGGACCTGTGTGTGTGGTCAGTGTGCTGTTGTTAGGTGGTGTGAGCACATATCTTTCTCTTTTTTCTGATAAGAAGATAGATGTTCATTTTAGAATCTATGTGCACTTGCCTGTGTGTGTGTGTGTGTATGGTGAGAGTTTGGTTGTGGGGAGAAGCACTGTGAACTTACCCACCCTGTACTGAGAGCTGTAGGACCTCCTTCCCTGCTAAAAATGACCCTGCTCTTGTCACCACATCCCCACCCATGACAGCATTTCTTTGTAATGAATGTATGTAATATCCTGTTTGTCATGGACCAATGCAGTGCATCCATTTATAGTTCATAAAGTTATTTATATTTCCAATTAAAAGTACTCATATTTATGATGGATTTTGTTTTTACTCTTTATTTACCTTGGTGTCCGAACTAATGATAATAGAAGACCCATTTCCTAAGAGAAAGTTGACTTGCCGTTAAGAGACAGGATCCCTCGTGAACACATCCTCACCATTTGTTCTGACTGATGCATGACTTAATGTCATTGCAAGAGGAATTTCCCAAGGAAAAGCCAGCGGTCTTCCTCAGAACCTCAGGGAGCGGGTCACGACAGGCTCCAGGTGGAATCCCTTTCCAAGGTAGACCTTGGTTCAAGGTAAAGTTACAGCACTCGCCAGCCCTGAGACCCTTAGGTGATTCACATCCCCTCTGTCTTCTCATCCATAAAATGGGTTAGTGAGAATGTTGTGTAATTGGAACACTGCACTTTAAATTTGGTCAATTGGCACATTTTATTGCTTAATATGAGATCTCAGTACTTTTGACCTGATGTTAATTGGTAACTTATAGGAGGTCCCGACTCCTGAGGGTTGGAAGGAATTCTGGTTGACAGTAGGAGACCCAGGATCCCTGAAGCCTGCTCACCCTGGATGGGACTCAGTCCCTTCAGGCCAGGGTATCCTGAAGCCCGGCTGTGGGACCAGGAAGGCCCAGCAGTGTGGTTGGAAACGCAGCCCCTCTGGGTCTGTGAGGAGTCAGGGTCAGCTCCACACAGGGCAGGCTCTGGAGTTTCCTCCCCAAGGGCAACCCATTCTCCTGGAAGTCAGCCCCGACAGGGACAGACACAGAGGCTGGAACCAGCAGTCCCAAGGAAAATGGGAGGTACCAGTCTTTGCAAGGATGGTGACCCCTGGGGAGCTCAGCTCCAGGGAGGTGAGTGCCTTAGCGTGGGAGGGACTGTGATGCCAGGATTCCTGCCTTTTCTGCCCCCTCCACTCTGGGCCCCTTCCCAGAGTCAGGCCACCCTGGCCCTTCATTCCCCCACCATGCACCCTGGGCTGGCTCCCTCTTTCCTTCTTGCCTTGTCTTGTATCTGCTTTCCCTACCCTGTTTCCCCCTGTCACCATCTGCCACTCTCTAGGACTTGACCCCCATCTCTCTCAGTCACTCACACACTGTCTCTCTCCCTGCCTGTCTCTCTCTCTGCCCCCAGGCCCTCAGGCCCTGGGCTCTGGTCCAGCCCTGTCCAGGGCCACAGGGCCCTACCTCTCTGAGTGCCCCCCACCCTCACTGGCAAGTTGTGGCCCCTGCCCTGCTCACAGTGGAGGAGCCTGCTTACAGAGGCCGCTCCTGCTGGTACTGCTGCACTGCTGTCCCCCCTCTTCCTGGGCAGCACAGCCAGTTGGTGGCCCAGCCTGTACCCCAGAGCTGCTGCAGGGCTGGCCACCTGCCCCAGCTGGAAGGAGGGAGGGCCCTGCGGGCTTGAGGGGCTCCTGGGATTGGATTGAGGGATATGTAAGGAGCCAGGTATTTTCGCCCAACTCCTCTTTGTCAATGGCAGAGCGTCCCAAACCACTGACTGCCCTCTGCCCGTTTCTCACTAAGAGCACTGGGCAGACTGTGGGAGCTCCTGAGACTTAGGAGGGAGCTGCTGCCCTCAGTCCTCTCAGAGTTTGCCTGGAATTGGGGCTCCTGAGGGCAGCTGGCAGGGCTGGGGCCCTCTCACTGGACTCTGGCACCTCATCCCTTCCTGTCAGCAGTTGGCCACTTCACGGGGACAGAGATGAGGACCTCTCTGACCCTTGAGACTGGCAGGCCCCATGTGCTCAGTATTTCTTGATTGAGTGAACACAACCACCCCTATCTAGACACCAAGTCTTCCCACCACCCCAGAAGGATTTCTCAGGCCCCCTCACAGCCAGTACTGCCCCACAGCACAACTTTGCTTCTGTCCCACCCGGGTAGTTTCTGCCTCCTTGGACCTGGGTGTACACAAATCACCCAAGTACAGTGTAGGGGGTATGACATAATTACTTTTTATAGTTATATATATTTTTGGCAAAAATCATAGGGGTTATCTTTATGCATGTAACATGTATTTAAAATTAATGTGTCACCTACAGGTGTACTATAGATAAGGACAGCCACATGGGTGTGGCGATGTGATTAAGATGGTGTGCTGTTAAGATCTCCGTCTTGTGGACGTTCTCTCTGCCTTTTGTGTGCAGTGCTGAGCAAAGGGGTGTGAGGACCTCCCACCCTGCCTGTATATTTGATTCCTCTTGGTTCTGTCATTCTTTACCTCACATGTTTTTCAGCCACTGCCCAAGGGAAATCCTGGGAGCTTGGAAAAGGAGGAGGGAGCACCCCAGAAGTAGAGGGCAGGGGACATGGGTTGGGCAGGACCAGGAAGCATAAGGTCAGGAGAGTTTGCAGAGAAGACCCAGGGTTGGATGGCAGTTGGTGGTGGGGAATCAGGCGGGGTGCATCCTAAAAGTGAGGTCACCCAGAATGTCCACTGTGAGGTGCCAGGGGCGAAGACAGGTGATTGGTTGAGTGAGGGCATAAAGCACTGGTGTTGCTAAGGCAGCGTTCAGACAGGAGAAGACTTGGAGGGAGGTGTCTTGTTCCCTCCAGCTGCTCCTGAGAGTCCGCTTGACCTGCCGCTTGTTTT